AACGGAAGCTCATTGGGCCGTTCGGGAGTGATGTCAGGTCACATGATGAAACCCGCAGATCTCCGCTAGTTAAAGATTCATTCATCGAAACCAAAACTATAAAAAACGTTCTTGAAATAAATAAAATATTACAAAAACTTATTTCAGCATTTCTCAATTAACTTGCTTAAAGTACTAAAGTATGAAAGCTTGTTTCCGCAACAGAATTAAAAATAATAATTGTAATTGCGACTTTTTTCTCCGAATTTCCTGAAATAAACTTGCAGTTGTCATAATTATCATTTCAAACTGTTTTATTCAGTGGCGGAAACGAGCTTTCATTTCTAAAGTGACTAAAACTAATTACACTAAAACTATATAGCCATATTTAAAAACAATGAGCAGCACTTATACAGCATTTATTAAATCTCAACATTTACTGAAGCATTTTAATGTTGTATTTGCTAAGCCTAACAATGAACAGCTTTAGCAGATTTAATAAATGCTGTGAAATATTAATAACTCAGTTAAAGTTAACCTTACTGTAAGGTTTTACCATATAACGAAGACAAATGACTAAAACGCACAGCAGAATTAGTCAAACTTCACTAAAATTAATCAAACGGAATCGGTTACACTTTATTTAAAGTGTCCTTGTTACAGTGTAATTATATATTTATGTATTATTGATGAACTATGTACTTACTATAGGGTTAGTGCACGTAGTTATGCATAATTTATAGTTATTACTATAGTAACTAGGACACTATAAAAAATCTAATCAAAAATACTACCAAAAACTGCAATAGAGCATCAGCGGCAGCAGCCTGGCCTCCATCAGGTCCTGTAGCAGATGAACATGAGTCTGATGCAGATGTCTGTTACTTTATGAATAGAAATACCTCTGGAATTAGTCGTTTAACGATCAACTGACTTCTGGGTAATACATAAATCAACACGCCCCAGAAATATACTAGTCATGCTTATTATTGGACACTATGCATTCTAATAACTCGTGTGTGTGTGTGATTATTGCACTGTTCTACCGCAGCGATTTTACAGTATTTTGCTAATTCTATGATTATTTTTGTGAGACGACGTGGAATATTTGTACTTTTATAAATTCATTTGTCGCACAAAATAACTATTGAAGCGAAAAGTACAAGTTCTGTTCAGAAATATTGATGTTATTGTGCGTTTGAGAACATGAAGCTCTAAGTGTCATTGTAAAGTTATGGTGTTTTAACTGGTTATTCTTCAGATGAAGTAACGTAACACTTTACAACTATCACAGAGAACATTTATTAATCTTGATTTCAACATTTATGAATGCTCTAGTCAAATCAAAAATATGATTTAATGGACCTGAACTAACAGCTGTGTAAAGTGTTACTGAATTATACTGAGTTTTCACACTGCAACTGATTTCAATAAACTGCCTTTATTGACAATATAAAAACCACACTGCATTATTATCATCATTATGTACAGTGTGTGTGCGTGTGTGTGTGTGTGTTCATGATCTCTAACACAGAACTAGAGGAGAACGGGTGAGTTCATAGGGTTAACCAGGTGTGTGTGTGTGTGTGTGTGTTCAGAAATAAACAGGTCAACATCTCTGCTACATCATATAGATGAAACAACACAGATTTCCAGCCCATCACTCTTAAACATTAATTACAGTTATTAAACATAACCCTCTATCCTCCGAGCACTCCTTCCTTCTGTTCCCATCATCTTCTGAATCCCATCTGGAGAACATCTTTGACAAAAACACCATTTTCTCAGCTTTTTGTTCAAAATTTTGCTTTTTTTATGAACTTTCAATTGTTGATAAAATAATGCATGTCATTTGCTCTTAAAGTGACAGCAGCCAATAAACACCTGCTGCTGTCTGTGTCATTAATGTTAATAAAACAACAAAACCGCTTAAAGATTAATCTATATTTAGTTTACACAGTGAACACCATAGTGTTATTTTACATTTAGTAATTTCTTCACCTGAATACTGCTGCTAGACCTTCCTTTACCTTGTTGAATTTGTCATTTTATTACTGACTGTTCACTTGTCTTTAATAATTTAATTATTAAAAGCTATATTTTTGCTGTGGTATCAAAGTACTTGAAGTGGGCTTTATAAATGAAAAGCAAAGTTACATTACTTTTTTTTCCCTGATCTGAAAAATGAACCAAATTGCTTCACAAAAACCGTTATATGATCCGATACGTGAGATTATTGAGAGCCATTCAGAATCTATCACTGATTACCGATAAAAACATTGACAGCCAATCAGAATTAATCGCTGATTACTGATAAAAAACGTTGACAGCCAATCAGAATTAATCGCTGATTACCGATAAAAACATTGACAGCCAATGAGAATTAATCGCTGATTACAGATAAAAACATTGACAGCCAATCAGAATTAATTGCTGATGAACGATAAAAACGTTGACAGCCAATCAGAATTAATTATTTAATTGATGATGAACGATAAAAACATTGAGAGAAAATCTGAATCCATCGCTGATGAACGATAAAAATGTTGACAGCTAATCAGAATTAATCGCTGATTACCGATAAAAACGTTGACAGCCAATCAGAATTAATCGCTGATTACCGATAAAAACATTGACAGCCAATCAGAATTAATCGCTGATGAACGATAAAAATGTTGACAGCCAATCAGAATTAATCGCTGACTACCAATAAAAACATTGACAGCCAATCAGAATTAATCGCTGATGAACGATAAAAATGTTGACAGCCAATCAGAATTAATCGCTGATTACCGATAAAAAAATTGACAGCCAATCAGAATTAATCGCTGATGAACGATAAAAATGTTGACAGCCAATCAGAATTAATCGCTGATGAACGATAAAAACGTTGACAGCCAATCAGAATGAATCGCTGATTACCGATAAAAACATTGACAGCTAATCAGAATTAATCGCTGATTATCTATAAAAGAATTGACAGCCAATCAGAATTAATTGGTGATGAATGATAAAAACGTTGACAGCCAATCAGAATTAAATATTGATTTAATTGATGATGCACGATAAAAACATTGAAAGCCAATCAGAATCCATTGCGGATGAACGATAAAAACGTTGACAGCCAATGAAAATCCATCGCAGATGAACGATAAAAACATTGACAAAGATCTTCATCTGTGTTCTGAAGATGAACGAAAGTCTGGCGAGTAACTGATGACGTTACTGTCCCTTTAAGAGCGAGTCACTGAAAGCTGCTTTGAAGAGTCTGCTTTTACGAGAGTGCTTCCTCTTCCAGTAACGAGTAATCGTCGTGTTCCACCTTCACTGGTCCGGCAGCATCGCTGAGCTCCTGCTGATAGCTAGCCGCGCTCGACGTCTGCTGGCAGCGCGCCTGATGCTTGAGGAAGCTGTCCCGCCACACGATCTTCTTCCCGCAGAGCGCGCACTCGTACGGGCGCAGGCCGCCGTGCGTCTTCACGTGTTTGGTCAGGTGGTGCTTCATCTTGAAGCTCTTGGCGCAGACGGGGCAGGCGAACGGGCGCAGGTTCAGGTGCTGCATCTTCACGTGCCGGTCGCGCATGCTCTTCAGCGTGTACGCTTTCCCGCAGTGACAGAAGTGGACTTTCGGCGTCGCAGAGAGAGGAGAGCAGGGAGGATTCTGGGAAACCGTCGCGTTCGCAATCGCATCCAACGTTTCGTCGTCCTCGTCGTCTTCGTCCACCGACGGCCACTCGCTCTGCCACAGGCTCTCTCTGAGACGCCCGTCCGACTCCACGACTCCTGAGAGAAGAACACAAACACAGTCAGAAACAGCGCGGTGGCGCCCCCTGGTGGACGGGAGCTAAACGGCAGTGATGAAGAAGCTCCACTCACCGGCCTGGCGCTCCTCGCTCTTCATCCTCAGTTTATCCTCGTCCTCCGCCGGCTCTCCGACGCCTTCATCCGCCTCCACCCGCCGCTGCTCCTCTTTCGCTCCTCGGAGCCGAACGCGGATTCGGTGTCTCGCGGCGAAATCCGTTTCGATGGACGGGAGAGGCGGGTGCGGATCCGGCCCACACTCGGGCTCGGTCCGTAGAGGAAAGGTTAGGCTGCTTCGGCTCCACCGGCTCTGCTGAGGGCGCCTCCATGTGGCCAGAGGCGGAAGCGCACGTTTCTCCACGGCAGGTTCGCCCGGCGGGTCCGACGGGTCGGGGAAGCAGCAGTCGGAGCTGCTGGGCGACTGATGGCTCGAGGAGCTCGCCACGCCCGGGCTGACCTGCGCTAGGGGTCGCGACCTCTTCAGGATGTCCGTGCACTTGTCCACGATGTGCCACATCTGGAGGAAGCTGGCCACGGTGACGTAGTTGATGATGTCGTCGCGCACGATGCTGAGCTGCCCGGTGTAGGCGGAGTTCAGGACGCTCTCGAAGGCCAGCGGGTCCATGACCGAGGGGAGAGACACCGTGGTGACGTTCTTCAGCAGAACCTGGACACAGGCAGAACCGAGCGCTGAACGACCAGATTCAACAGACACATTCTTAAAGGGATAGTTCACCCAAAAATTTAAATTAGCCCATGATTTACTCACCCTCAAGCCATCCTAGGTGTATATGACATTCTTCTTTCAGACGAACACAATCAGTTTGTATATTAATAAATGTCCTGACTCTTCCAAGCTTTATAATGGCAGTGAATGACTGATTCTGTTTTGAAGTCCATCAAAGTGCATCTATCCATCATAAAAGTGCATCTGTCCATCATAAAAGTGCATCTGTCCATCATAAAAGTGCATCTGTCCATCATAAAGTGCATCTGTCCATCATAAAGTGCATCTGTCCATCATAAAAGTGCATCTGTCCATCATAAAGTGCATCTGTCCATCATAAAGTGCATCTGTCCATCATAAAGTGCTCCACACGGCTCCGGGGGTTAATAAAGGCCTCATGCATCGATGCACTTTGATGGACTAAAACAAACGGCCTTTCACTGCCATTATAAAGCTTGGAAGAGCATTCATTTTTGGCTGAACTATTCCTTTAACTGACTTCCACAGTTTTGTAAGTTTTCTGAAATGTTGTTTACATATGCAAATGAGGCACTCATTAAATATGCACTAATTTGCATACAGAACTCTGAACATTGGATAAAGTCAGGTTCAAAATTTCTGTTTGATTTTGACTTGCTAAAGATTTCTGTTTATCACTTCCTGTTGTATACATCAGGCGAGTTCTATATGAACAACCCCCTGGAATATAGATATGAGTAACAGTGTAAAGTCTGGTGTGTGTGAAGCGGCTGAAGTGGAGATTCCTGACTTCAACGATACGGATCGAGTGCAATAAAATAAACACTTTAATGTAAGACAGATGGTCAGATAGACAGATAGATGGATGGATGATAGAAAGATGGTTAGATGGATGGATGGACAGACATGGATGGATGGATGGATGGATGGATAGACAGATGGATGGAAAGATGGATTGATGGACAGAAAGATGGACAGATGGATTGATGGATAGAAAGATGAATGGACAGATGGATAGATAGATGGATGGATAGAAAGATGGAAAGATGGATGGATGGATAGAAAGATGGATGGATGGACAGACAGATGGATGGATGATAGAAAGATGGATGGATGGACAGACAGATGGATGGATGATAGAAAGATGGTTAGATGGATGGATGGATGGATAGAAAGATGAATGGATGGAAAGATGGACAGACAGATGGATGGATGATAGAAAGATGGTTAGATGGATGGATGGATAGAAAGATGGATGGATGATAGAAAGATGGATGGATGATAGAAAGATGGTTAGATAGATGGATGGAAAGATGATGGATGGATGGATAGTGTTCTCGTATAATGCTCTCGTATAGTGCTCTCGTATAGTGTTCTCGTATAGTGTTCTCGTATAGTGCTCTCGTATAGTGTTCTCGTATAGTGTTCTCGTATAGTGTTCTCGTATAGTGCTCTCGTATAGTGTTCTCGTATAGTGTTCTCGTATAGTGCTCTCGTATAGTGTTCTCGTATAGTGCTCTCGTATAGTACTCTCGTATAGTGCTCTCGTATAGTGTTCTCGTATAGTGTTCTCGTATAGTGCTCTCGTATAGTGCTCTCGTATAGTGCTCTCGTATAGTGTTCTCGTATAGTGTTCTCGTATAGTGTTCTCGTATAGTGTTCTCGTATAGTGCTCTCGTATAGTGTTCTCGTATAGTGTTCTTGTATAGTGTTCTCGTATAGTGTTCTCGTATAGTGCTCTCGTATAGTGTTCTCGTATAGTGCTCTCGTATAGTGTTCTCGTATAGTGTTCTCGTATAGTGCTCTCGTATAGTGTTCTCGTATAGTGCTCTCGTACAGTGTTCTCGTACAGTGTTCTCGTATAGTGTTCTCGTATAGTGTTCTCGTATAGTGTTCTCGTATAGTGCTCTCGTATAGTGTTCTCGTATAGTGCTCTCGTATAGTGTTCTCGTATAGTGTTCTCGTATAGTGTTCTCGTATAGTGCTCTCGTATAGTGTTCTCGTATAGTGCTCTCGTATAGTGTTCTCGTATAGTGTTCTCGTATAGTGCTCTCGTAGTGTTCTCGTATAGTGTTCTCGTATAGTGTTCTCGTATAGTGCTCTCGTATAGTGTTCTCGTATAGTGCTCTCGTATAGTGTTCTCGTATAGTGTTCTCGTATAGTGCTCTCGTAGTGTTCTCGTATAGTGTTCTCGTATAGTGTTCTCGTATAGTGTTCTCGTATAGTGTTCTCGTATAGTGCTCTCGTATAGTGTTCTCGTATAGTGCTCTCGTATAGTGTTCTCGTATAGTGTTCTCGTATAGTGCTCTCGTAGTGTTCTCGTATAGTGTTCTCGTATAGTGTTCTCGTATAGTGCTCTCGTATAGTGTTCTCGTATAGTGTTCTCGTATAGTGCTCTCGTATAGTGTTCTCGTATAGTGTTCTCGTATAGTGCTCTCGTAGTGTTCTCGTATAGTGTTCTCGTATAGTGTTCTCGTATAGTGCTCTCGTATAGTGTTCTCGTATAGTGCTCTCGTATAGTGCTCTCGTATAGTGTTCTCGTATAGTGTTCTCGTATAGTGTTCTCGTATAGTGCTCTCGTATAGTGCTCTCGTATAGTGCTCTCGTATAGTGTTCTCGTATAGTGTTCTCGTATAGTGCTCTCGTAGTGTTCTCGTACAGTGTTCTCGTACAGTGTTCTCGTATAGTGTTCTCGTATAGTGTTCTCGTATAGTGTTCTCGTATAGTGCTCTCGTATAGTGTTCTCGTATAGTGCTCTCGTATAGTGTTCTCGTATAGTGTTCTCGTATAGTGCTCTCGTAGTGTTCTCGTATAGTGTTCTCGTATAGTGTTCTCGTATAGTGTTCTCGTATAGTGTTCTCGTATAGTGCTCTCGTATAGTGTTCTCGTATAGTGTTCTCGTATAGTGTTCTCGTATAGTGTTCTCGTATAGTGCTCTCGTATAGTGTTCTCGTATAGTGTTCTCGTATAGTGCTCTCGTAGTGTTCTCGTATAGTGTTCTCGTATAGTGTTCTCGTATAGTGCTCTCGTATAGTGTTCTCGTATAGTGTTCTCGTATAGTGCTCTCGTAGTGTTCTCGTATAGTGCTCTCGTATAGTGTTCTCGTAAATATGCTATGCCCGTACCCATCTACGTTACATATCAGACATGGACCAATTAAAATCGAGATATTACTGGACACATTCGCGCAGCTAACGTCATTACACCACAGCTAGCCTATGCCTAATCCCCGCCAAATTCAAAGTCAAAATGACAGCACCGGCCGTGATCACAGAGTTAAGGCATTTTTCCAAGCTCGATTTGAATTCATAATCTGAGTTAATAGCCAGAGGGAGGTCTACGCCAGCCTTAGATGGGCTAGTGCAGCAACTGGAGGCCGTAAAGACGAGTTTTACAAAGCTGTGATCGACGTCTTCACGAGGAAAGAGCGGCGGATGGATTTTACGTACAAATAATCTACCGATTGGTGAGTCAAAAACTATTTTGGGCTTAATATTGAATTGATAAATGTGGTTGAATTAATGCAAGCCATTTGCCTTCATATTCAATTGAGCAGTGTGTGATTTTACTTTTGCTGACAGACATAATTGGCCGCTGTGCAAAAATTAAGGAGTAAGACTGGTTGTATTCTGATGCTGGAGTGGACATTATTAACTACTGGTGTTTGCCTGTGCCGCGCTTGCGTGTGTGTGTGTGTGTGTGTGTGTGTGTGTGTATGTGCGAGAGAGAGAGAGAGAGAGTACACGATATACATCCTGATTTGTACATTTCTTGTTATGCTGCGTTTGTGCGTCATGTTTACTGTTATTACTTATTATTAGCCTAAACAATAAATCAGGTAATCTGGCATTCATAACTCAGTGCCTAGCCATCACCGCACGTCACTGGTTACCACCCAATCACAAACATGTTCTAAGACTGGTTTGCAAACGTTCCCATAAAGTTATGAAAACGTTATTTACGAATGTTCTGTGAAATGGTGAATTTAAAAAAAAGTGGGTTACACTTTATTTTAAGGTGTCATTGTTACAGTGTAATTATATATTTAAGTACTGAGTAATATTAATTAATAACATGTACTTACTATAGGGTTAGGGTTTGTTTGAGGGTTAGTTACATGTAATTATGCATAATTTACTGTTATTACTACGGTAAGTACATGTAACATATGTAACAAGGACACTTAAATAAAGTGTTACCAAAATGTGCTATGCTAATGTTACAGGACGACTTTTGAATGTTCTCCGAGTCCGAACGTTCTAAAACAAGTTGCAACGTTTTAAAAATGGAATCCATTTGTGCTAACGTCATAACTTTGAACGAGCGTTCTATTACCGCTACTGGGAGAACCTTGAGAACGTTTGCGTGATGATGACATCCAGGGCCGCTAGTGGGGGAAAGTGCTGACGATTATAGCAGTTATTCTATAGAAGCCCTGTTGTATTAATAATTCTAATATTTTTATTAGTTGTATGCCTGAGATTAAAATGAAAACCACAAAAACATGCAATTTGGTTAAATATTTTTCCCAAATATCTGCTTATTTACCTCCCTAAAATGGTTTAGTCCGATCTAGAGTGTTTATTAATTATTCAGCAGTGACGAGCATCAGATGGAGCCAGTAATGTTGTAAGTCCAGAACCAGAGAGTCGAGGCGGCTGAAGGTGGAGATCGCAGGAGACTGACCGGTTAAGATGAAAGATTTTTAATCTTTATTAGAAAATAAGGCAATAAATGATTTTATCTTTTCAATTTGACTGCATTCTTGTCAATTTCTAAATGTTTACTTATATTTATGAATTATAACAGTGTGATGGGAAAATATATATATACATTTTGCTGTTACTTTTTTAAAATTGGTTTTATTATTATTTAATAATTTCTTGCTTTTTGTTAGTTTTTATTAGTTGTAATCTTATATAAACATTTAACTTTTAAAATAAAAGTTTTACAACAACACCCCATCTTCTGTGATGTGGGCCTCCGTGTATATGATGTTAGTGGAGGGCCCCGGATCCTCTGGCCCCGATGACATCAGTTCTGCTACCAGTGTCACAAACCTTCACGAGTTATTGTGCATTTGTAACTATTTTTAGCATTTGAATAATATTGCAGTACTAGTGAAGCGACTTTGTCTCCACCCAGATCACAAAATATGTTCTAAGACTGGTTTGCAAACGTTCCCATAAAGTTATCAAAACGTTATTTTCAAATGTTCTGTGAACGTTAAAAATATACATTTAAAAAAAAAAATGCTATGTTAATGTTACGGGAACGTTCCATCTTTATTTACTTTTTTACAAACTTTATCTGGACGACGTTTGAATGTTCTCCGAACGTTCTAAAACAAGTTGCAACATTTTAAAAATGGAATTCTGAAAAACGTTTCATTTGTGCTAACGTCATAACTTTGAACGAACGTTCTATTACCATCACTGGGAGAACCTTGAGAACGTTTGCAGGGCAGGTCGCGAGAAATCATGCAAAGTTTAAAATCAATCACACATTAATATGCAAATGAGAGGGTTTGCATGTGTGTGATGATGACATCAGTTCCACACACACACACACACACACACACACACACACACTCACCTGGTCATGGAAGTACGGGGAGGATGCAGCCAGCACACACCTGTGCGCGCGGAACACGTGACCCTGCACCTGTATGGACAGGTCACACAGCTGACCCTCCTCGCGCTGCCGGTTCAGGTTCTCCAGAACCGCGGCGCGCGCGCTCGGGAAACACACCTGCAGAACCGGGCCCGGGGGCGCGCTCGCGCGACCGAGGATCTGCTCCATCCTGCCGGGGAGAAACCGAGTCCTGATCCGGGATCAGCAGCACAACTCGTGCCTAACACCCGTTTATTCCGGTATTATTCGGTGTTAGGCCCGCTAGCAGATCATAACATAATCATATGAGAGCTTATGATCATGTGTTTACATCCCATGCGGAAACGATCTGCGCGATTCAACCGTTGGACACTCAATCTGCAAGTTTAACTACCGTGGGTGTAATATATATGTTGATTATGATCCTATGATCGGTTGAAATGAAATATGAATGTGTTTATAATCTCACCTGCGTTCACTGTGATGGAGGTCTGCTGCGGAAGAGAGAGACACGCCCCTTCTCCGAGACCCCGCCCCTTTTAAAACCACAGTGCTTAGATATTCATATTCTTCATAAATGCTTTGGTTTTGTGAGTGTGTGTGTTCACAGTGATAACGACAACATATTGTTTGATTCTATTCGTGTCTCACATGAATGAAATTAAATGGCTAAATAAATATATAGAATAGAATCGTCCATGTGACTGCTACTGTGAGCCAATCCTGCTACAAAGGATGTCGGATTCATGAATATTAATGACGTGACGCCCCATGACGTCCTTATGCGTGACCTTATTAATATTCATGAGCTGAGAGGGACTGCAGTCCGCGCGCGCCACCTGCTGGTGACTGGAGCTCACAAACCTGCAGGAAAAAGGATTAAAAACATCAGACGTTAAAAATTATTTGCATTGCAAAAAGAATGACGTTCACAACTCTGATAAACCATAATCAAATTATTAATATAATGCTAGTTAGCTAGATCTCTGAATAACTGATGAGCAGAGAGCACGGCGATGCATGAAAGGTATTTTAATAGGTAATTAACTTTATGTTAAGTTAAAAGAATGTATATATTTCAAAATTATATTGTACCGTCAATAATTGTATTTGGTATTAAATGGGACCTAGTTTGAAGGGAAACCCCCTGTTTATTACAGGTAATGATCATATTGTGTATTTCAGTGAGTTTTGAAGGGGCTGCACCTGCGGGAGCGTCGTGACGTCACCGCGGGTTCAGGTTGCGTCGCGCGCGCGCGCGGCCCGGGATTTTTACCGCAATGCATCAGAACTCAGCGAACGCGTGAACGAGCCTCTCAGAATGGCGTTTAAACCCGACAGATCAGCGATACCCGATCATAAACATCAGGCTAATGCTTGAGGATTATTACACGCGAGTCACAGGCAAGTGCAGATCTGTGTGCATGATTACAGTGATGATGCGTTCATGGTCAGTGATGGAAATATATTCATAAATGAATGTGCATGCGTAGCGTGCGTTTATTCGGATATATCATGTCAAACATGCACAGATATAAACGATGTAAACAGAGGAATGAGTGTAAGCACTGATCTCAGGTCTGATGATTGTCTGTGTTTCTCTGGCGTGTTTTCACACACTAAACATCTTTCAGAGCCAAACTGATGCTGGTCTAGTGTTCTTCAGGAGTCCATCACATCAGCGGGACGGGGCCCTTCAGAACCTCAGAACATGAAGACCCGTCACTGTGGACTCTAGAGTCTCAGAAGCCCACGAGAGAGAGAGAGAGAGAGAGAGAGAGAGAGAGAGAGAGAGAGAGAGAGAGAGAGAGAGAGAGAGAGAGATCACGGTCCAGCTCAGTGTCTGTCTTCTGTGAGCATCATGGACGTATGTGTGAGACACCTGCTGCTCCTGTGTGTGTTCTTCACGATCTCAGGTGAGTCTGACCTACAGGGGTCCGGGGCCCTCAGGAGTAACAGAGGTCTGAGGCCCTTGGGGAGTAACAGGGGTCCGGGGCCCTCAGGTATTTACAGAGGTCTGGGGCCCTTAGGTATTTACAGAGGTCTGGGGCCCTCAGGTATTAACAGGGGTCCAGGGCCCTCAGGGAGTAACAGGGGTCCGGGCCGGGGGCCTCAGGTATTAACAGAGGTCCGGGGCCTTCAGGGAGTAACAGGGGTCTGGGGCCCTCAGGTATTAACAGGGGTCCGGGACCCTCAGGTATTAACAGGGGTCTGGGGCCCTCAGGTATTAACAGGGGTCTGGGGCCCTCAGGTATTAACAGGGGTCCGGGACCCTCAGGTATTTACAGAGGTCCAGGGCCCTCAGGGAGTAACAGGGGTCCGGGCCGGGGGCCTCAGGTATTAACAGAGGTCCGGGGCCTTCAGGGAGTAACAGGGGTCTGGGGCCCTCAGGTATTAACAGGGGTCCGGGACCCTCAGGTATTTACAGAGGTCCGGGGCCCTCAGGTATTAACAGGGGTCCGGGACCCTCAGGTATTTACAGAGGTCCGGGGCCTACAGGGGTCTGGGGCCCTCTGGTATTAACAGGGGTCCGGGAACCTCAGGTAATTACAGAGGTCCGGGGTCCTCAGGGAGTAAGAGGGGTCCGGACCGGGGCCCTCAGGTATTAACAGGGGTCTGGGGCCCTCAGGTATTAACAGCGGTCCGGGGCCTTCAGGGATTAACAAGGGTCTGGGGCCCTCAGGTATTAACAGGGGTCCTGGGCCCTCAGGGAGTAACAGGGATCTGGGGCCTCAGGGAGTAAGGGGTCTGGGGCCTTCAGAGAGCAACAGGGGTCTGGGGCCCTCAGGGAGTAACAGGGCTCCGGGGCCTTCAGGGAGTAACAGGGATCTGGGGCCTCAGGGAGTAAGGGGTCTGGGGCCCTCAGGGAGTAACAGGGCTCCGGGGCCTTCAGGGAGTAATGGGTCTGGGGCCCTTGGGAAGTGACAGGTGTCCGGGGCCCTCAGGTATTTACAGAGGTCCGGGGGCCTCAGCGAGTAACAGGGGTCCGGGGCCTCAGGAGTGACGGACGTCCGGGACCCTCAGGTATTAACAGGGGTCTGGGGCCCTCAGGGAGTAACAGGGTTACGGAGCTCTCAGGGAGTGACAAAAATATATATATATTTAAATTCCCATAAAAAAACTAAAATATTTAATTAAAAAATAAGTTTGATGTAAAAATAAATTCATTTTTAAATCAAACTTAAATATTGATTATTTTAATCCTTTTAAACCCATATTTATTCATTTATTATTTATTTAAAACAATTTGTATTTGCATTTATTTTAATATTCTTATTTTATTTAAAAAATGTAAAAAAAATAATTAAAAAAAATAATTAATACATTTGATGAAAATGAATACATACATCAAATTAGATGTAAATAAACCAAAAAAAAATTTTTTATTTAAATAATACATTTAACAGAAATGTATACATTTATAAATCATTTTTTATTTAAAAAACACGTCATGTGACTACAGTACTGTTGTTGATTAGAAAAGAAAGCAATGATGGAACAATATAAACTGATATTTTCCAAATAACAAATCTATTTATGAAATTGTATTTATGAAATATATGAGATATTGACAGTATGATGATCGAGTTTGATGTTTCCTCATGAGAATATGACGCTGCTGGTGAGTGTGTGTGAGTGTGACGCGTGTGTGTTTGTGCAGTGTCCGTGTGCAGCGCCGCATGCGCAGAGGTGGACTCGGACACCGAGGCCGTCGCGGGAAGACCCTTCAAGCTCGGATGCATTTCCTGCAAGATGCGCGGGGAAGTGGAAGCCACGGCCACCGTAGACTGGCACTTCCGGCCGCGCGGACAGGACCAGTTCACCCACGTGAGCGTTTGAGCGGGAAGCGCTCGTTCAAACAACAGTTCAAATGAATCGAATTCCAAAAATAATTCATTAAACGAACTAAATAAATAAATACATTTGACTAAAATAAGAAATGGTTTGAAATAAATAATTTATTTAAATTATTAGATTTAATTAAAATGAATAAATTGATTAAAATAAATACTTAAATAATAAATTAATACATTTACTGTAAAATAAGATTAAAATAAACAATATTTTATGTTAAAAAAAACATTTCGTTAAAATAAGAAATGGTTTAAAATAAATGAATAATTGATTTAAATTTATAGATTTAATTGTAATGAATAAATTGATTAAAATAAATACTTAAACAATCAATGAATACATTCAAAATAAAAAATATTAAAATAAACACAATCTTAGGTACACAAATAAAAACATTTAATTAAAATAATGAACGGTTTAAAATAAATTAATAATTAATTAAAAGTAATACATTTAATTCAAATTTAAAAGTTATTTTGAATAAATACAAATTGATTTAAATAAATAATACATTAATATATTAAATTAAAAATAAACAAGATTATATATAAATAAATAAACTCTTTTCATTTTAATTGATTAAAAATAAAAAATTGATTAAATTAGTAATAATTTATATAAATTAATAAATCTAATTTAAATTAATAAATTGATTAAAATAAATTAGATTCTTATAAATAACTAAATACAAATGTATTTAAATGAATAATAATTAATACATTTAATGTAACAAAAATGAAAATAAACAAAACAATGTATTTAAACAATCAAAACATGATTAAAATAAATTAATACAAATTAAAAAACAAATAATAAATTTGATTAAACTTGATTCAAATAAATACAATTCGATGTATATAAACAAAAACATTGAATTAACATAAATAAATAAAACATGATTAAAATAGATTGATAAAAATGCATTTAAATAAATAATACATCTAACAGTACTGGAGAAAAGAATGCAATGATGTAACACATCGGTAATACAATTATACACATATTTACAATATTAATTTTTACTGCGTATTTATTTAGCCGTTATACATAAAAATGTACGATGTCAACGCAAATGTGTGTGTGTTTTTCAGAGGACTTGTAATATAGATGGACTGCAGCTTTTATGAGACTTTAATGGGGATTTTTTCTGTTTGTGTGGTGGACAGATTTACAGCTACGACGGAGAGGAGTCGAACATCATCGACGAGCGTTTCCAGGACCGGATGGAGTGGTTCGGCAGCAGGAAAACCTTCGACCTCCAGGACGCGTCCGTCAACATCCTGAACGTGACCTTCAACGACACGGGCGATTACCAGTGCACCTTCAACCGCATCCTCAGCTACCAGCACTACGAGTACTCCACCATCGTCAGCAAGCTGGTGCACCTCACCGTCGTGGCCAAGGGTACGCTTCACCACGCTGGAATCACCGCCATGCACGCCCTACCGCGGCCGACACTGTTTCAGGCCCACTCCAGCTGTTTCTGCTGAACGAAATACATAAATGAAGAAGAAAAGCCACAATCTTCATGAGCACAACCAATGAATAGCAATCTGCACATGGAGCCACTTTTAGATCCTCATATCTCTGAAAGTGAGCTATATGGAGCCTTAAAAATTTAGATGCAAAAAGAAAAGTTTGTTAATAATTGGCACCTAAAAGGACATTGAGATATCTTTAAAACTTCTTGAGTTATAGGCACAAAAACTTTGGAAAAAGACTATTTTTGTCTCTCTGACAGGTTTTCTCTATGCGATTGTTTTAATGCTCTTTAAAAGCAGTCAGTATCAGTAATCAAGAACAAGATCAGCTGAAAGAAAAGTGACCAACATTTGGTTTTCGACCACTGAAAATGGGTCAAATTTAACAATTTACTCCTGGAGCCGCATTGAGATCCTCATATCTGTAGAACCGAACCACATAAACGCTTAAAAATGAAGATTGTAAAAGAAACGTTTGTTAAGAACCAACATCTAAAAGGACATTGAGAAATCTTTAAAACTTCTTGAGTTATAGGCACACAAACTTTGGAAAAAGACTATTTTTGTCTCTCAGACCGGTTTGTTCTATGCGATTGGTTTAATGGAGGGAAACCAGATATATTTCTAGTTTCAACATTATTTGTTCTTCAGACATTCCTCTTTAAACGCAGCCAGTGTCAGTAATCAAGTACAAGATCAGCTGTGTGCAAAGTGTCCAACATTTGGTTTTCACAACTTTAACATTTTACTCCTGGAGCCGCATTGAGATCCTCATATCTGTAGAACTGAACCATATAGAGCCTTAGAAATTAAGATACCAAAAGAACAGTTTGCTAAGAACCAACATCTAAGAGCACGTTGAGATATCTTTAATACTACTTGAGTTACAGACACAAAACCTTGGGAAAAAAACATGATAAAAGTGCTTTTTTCTCATCTTTGAGCCATCACCGTGGGCATATAATGCAATAATGATTGATAAAGTCAACAGATTTTACTAATAGAGCCACTGATCTCTGTGTAAAACTAAAATCATGAAGCTGCCGTCTTTCTGAAGCCATTTTCCCCCTCCTGTAACTTGGCTCTGAATCACAGATGAGAATTGAAAATTGACCCCCCTCTACAAAACAGATTACTCCGTAAATACACATGCATGGCATCTCATATTTTGATTTTCCTCCCTATCTGTTTGTCTTTCTTCAGAAAATATATTAACAAAAATATTAACAAAAAATGTTTGTGTGTGTGTGTGCCAGCCACGCGCGGGACGGCCTCCATCGTGTCGGAGGTGATGATGTACGTGACGATCATCGGGCTGCAGCTCTGGCTGCTGGTGGAGATGATCTACTGTTACAGGAAGATCGCGGCGGTGGGAGAAGAAGCTCTGCGAGCCAGCGCGTGAGTGTCTGCAGTCTAAGGCCCATCACACACCCGTGCAGTACAGCGTGTTCTGCTAGTTTCAGCCTGACGCAGTTTTCATTTTCACGTCCTGTGACACGTTGTTTAAATAGCGAATGCATTTGTGCTCAAAATAGACTGAGCCGTTGACCACCTGAACCTGCTCTAAAGTCTAAAGTTTTTGTTATATAAACAGCGCGTTAGTAATGTGCGCCTATAGGCGGATCCAGAACGGGCTACACTCTGATTATTGCACACACACACACACACACACACACACACACACACACACACACACACACACACACACACACACACACACACTCAGCTTATTACACATACACTCTGCTTATTACACACACACTCTGCTTATTACACACACACACACTCTGCTTATTACACACACACACACACACACACTCTGCTTATTACACACACAGGGCACAAACATGCCAAATATGAAAAATAAAAGGATTACAATGTAAAAGATTACTATTGTGTACATAAAGATATGCTGAATCCGGCTTGTCCCGTAGATGGTCTCGCTTTAACCTCACACACACACACACACACACACACACACACACACACACACACAGCTTTAACCTCGCGCACTAGCAGATCCGTTTCTTTGCTAGAGAAGCGTTCAGTCTTTTCGCTTGCTAAT